CATAAATTGCTGGGGACCTATATTCTTACCTGGAATCTCCACTGGTAGAAAAGCACAGATTGGTGGGGACCTATATTCTTACCTGGAATCTCCACTGGTAGAAAAGCATAGATTGCTGGGGACCTATAGTCTTACCTGGAATCTCCACTGGTAGAAAAGCACAGATTGGTGGGGACCTATATTCTTACCTGGAATCTCCACTGGTAGAAAAGCACAGATTGGTGGGGACCTATATTCTTACCTGGAATCTCCACTGGTAGAAAAGCATAGATTGCTGGGGACCTATATTCTTACCTGGAATCCCCACTGGTAGAAAAGCACAGATTGCTGGGGACCTATATTCTTACCTGGAATCTCCACTGGTAGAAAAGCACAGATTGCTGGGGACCTATATTCTTACCTGGAATCTCCACTGGTAGAAAAGCACAGATTGCTGGGGACCTATATTCTTACCTGGAATCTCCACTGGTAGAAAAGCATAGATTGCTGGGGACCTATATTCTTACCTGGAATCCCCACTGGTAGAAAAGCACAGATTGCTGGGGACCTATATTCTTACCTGGAATCTCCACTGGTAGAAAAGCATAGATTGCTGGGGACCTATAGTCTTACCTGGAATCCCCACTCCTAGAAAAGCATAAATTGCTGGGGACCTATATTCTTACCTGGAATCTCCACTGGTAGAAAAGCATAGATTGCTGGGGACCTATAGTCTTACCTGGAATCCCCTCTGCTAGAAAAGCACAGATTGGTGGGGACCTATATTCTTACCTGGAATCTCCACTGGTAGAAAAGGATAGATTGGTGGGGACCTATATTCTTACCTGGAATCTCCACTGGTAGAAAAGCACAGATTGCTGGGGACCTATATTCTTACCTGGAATCTCCACTGGTAGAAAAGGATAGATTGCTGGGGACCTATATTCTTACCTGGAATCCCCACTGGTAGAAAAGCACAGATTGCTGGGGACCTATATTCTTACCTGGAATCTCCACTGGTAGAAAAGCATAGATTGCTGGGGACCTATAGTCTTACCTGAAATCCCCTCTGCTAGAAAAGCATGCATTGCTTGGGACCTATATTCTTACCTGGAATCCCCACTCCTAGAAAAGCATAAATTGCTGGGGACCTATATTCTTACCTGGAATCTCCACTGGTAGAAAAGCATAGATTGCTGGGGACCTATAGTCTTACCTGGAATCCCCTCTGCTAGAAAAGCATGCATTGCTTGGGACCTATATTCTTACCTGGAATCCCCACTCCTAGAAAAGCATAAATTGCTGGGGACCTATATTCTTACCTGGAATCTCCACTGGTAGAAAAGCATAGATTGCTGGGGACCTATAGTCTTACCTGGAATCCCCTCTGCTAGAAAAGCATGCATTGCTTGGGACCTATATTCTTACCTGGAATCCCCACTCCTAGAAAAGCATAAATTGCTGGGGACCTATATTCTTACCTGGAATCTCCACTGGTAGAAAAGCATAAATTGCTGGGGACCTATATTCTTACCTGGAATCTCCACTGGTAGAAAAGCACAGATTGGTGGGGACCTATATTCTTACCTGGAATCTCCACTGGTAGAAAAGCATAGATTGCTGGGGACCTATATTCTTACCTGGAATCTCCTCTGGTAGAAAAGCACAGATTGGTGGGGACCTATATTCTTACCTGGAATCTCCACTGGTAGAAAAAGCATAGATTGCTGGGGACCTATATTCTTACCTGGAATCTCCACTGGTAGAAAAGCATAGATTGCTGGGGACCTATAGTCTTACCTGGAATCCCCTCTGCTAGAAAAGCATGCATTGCTTGGGACCTATATTCTTACCTGGAATCTCCACTGGTAGAAAAGCATAAATTGCTGGGGACCTATATTCTTACCTGGAATCTCCACTGGTAGAAAAGCATAGATTGGTGGGGACCTATATTCTTACCTGGAATCTCCACTGGTAGAAAAGCATAGATTGCTGGGGACCTATATTCTTACCTGGAATCCCCACTGGTAGAAAAGGATAGGTTGCTGGTACCTATATTCTTACCTGGCATCCCCACTGGTAGAAAAGCATAGATTGTTGAGATGTACATTTTAGAGTTGTTCTGGTGATTAGCGAGAAAACAATGTTTTGTATATCTATTTTTGGCTTGGTTTGCTTAATTTTATATTAATCAGCACTCAAAGAATACTTCTACATGGTTTTTATTTAAAAAAATATTTATCTTAATTTGATTTGAAACATTTTGAAAAGATTAAAAAATACACAGTTTGCTGATGGGTATCTCAGACATCTTATCTTTGTTTTCCTATATCCTGTCTTTTTATCTTTTCTATTTTATCATTTGTCATAAACTTGAAAATATTTTGTTTAGCAATATGATGAAATCATTTGTAGGTTGGGGGGAAGGGGTTTTAGAAGTATTATATTCATGTACAATGCAAATATATATTTTGTCATGATCGCGTAAATATCCAGGTGAGTGATACAGGCCCTATGGGCCTCTTGTTTATTGTTGTTAATTCTGATCATGCATCTCTCAGCTATGAGCAGGAAGAGATAAGGTGATAATGCAAGTTACATCTTTGTCACCTGCAATTTACTTCACTTTCACCTGCAATTTACATCACTTTCACCTGCAATTTACATCAGTTTCACCAACAATTTACATCAGTTTACCTACAATTTACATTAGTTTCACTCACAATATACATCCACCCATTTGAGTGACATTCCGTACAATACTATATATGTCCTACATGTAGATGTTTTGTTCTTTTGATAAAAGATGACTACCCAAACACAAATAGCATTCATGTGCCATGCAAAGGCATTTTTCAAACCCAATAAATGTTATTAGCAATAAGTGTAGTGTTACCACAATATAGCTATTTGAATTGAAATAATGTGCAAAAAAGATACTTCACTATTTTCCCTTCAAATGATCTTCTTGCAAGCGCGCAAAACTTTATGTAAACACATCGCATACAAAGTCAAGGACGAAAGTAAGGAACATTATTCTAAATGTCGAAATTGTCGAAAAGGTATGTCGTTTCACACTTCTTCAGCATGGTTGATTGGTTGGTTGGTTTGTTGTTTAATGCCGCACTCAGCAATATTCCAGCTATATGATGGTGGTCTGTAAATAATCAAGTCTTGACCAGACAATCCAGTGATTAATATCATGAGCATCGATCCACGCAATTGGGATCGATGACATGCATCAACCAAGTCAGCGAGCCTGACCACCCGATAACATAAGTCACCTTTTACGACAAGCATAGTCGCCTTATACGGCAAGCATGGGTTGCTGAAGACCTCTTCTACCCCGGAATCTTCACGGGTCTCTTCAGCATGGACTTGGATAGAAATATATTGTAAGCTATCGACTCCATAGTTATGTGGATCACTGTCAGTGTCACGATTTAGAACATTTCTGACATGAAATCTATGATGCATTCTTCGTTTTTTCGAAGTGTCAATTTGAATCACATGTTTAACAAATGAAATGTCAATGTTTGAACGTAAAGCAGATTATTTGTTTGAAAAATATTCATGGCAGAGTATGCTGCCATCTTGGAAGAAGATAAAGTAAACTTGCAACAGGTATAGGGCTATCTTAGATTTCTGACAATCTTATGATATCTTAGGGTTACGATAGTTTTGAAAATAGGCTTCTTACGATAACTTTACGATCATTTTAATTTTAGGACTACAATCTTTTAAAAAATGTAGGCCCTGGCTCAGAGCTGTTTGCAGCATCCCAAGATCATGTGTAACAGGGTGACTCCTGTCAACATGGTGCTCCGCTTCATCCAGATATGTTCGATTGGGCTAAAGTATGGCACCAATTGTGCTCCCCTTCTTGCTGATTTGTTTCTTTATGCGTATGAATCAGAATTTCTGCTCGGACTGGCAAAGTCAAAACAAGGCAATTTGGCCAAGAAATTTACTTAGGTTTCAGGTATATCGATGATCTGATATCATACATTTACCAACAAATAGCCAATTCCTGTTTATTGATTTTCCCACCTGAATTAGAAATAAAGGAGACTTGTGATACCACCTCCTCTGTTTCATATTTAGATCTATGCATAAAGATTCAGTGTGACAAAACACTCTCCACAAGACTGTATGACAAGAGGGATGACTTCAACTTTCCAATTGTCAACTTTCCCTTTATTTCGAGCAACATTCCAGCAGCTCCAGCCTTTGGAGTCTACATTTCACAACTTTTCTGGTACAATCTAGCATTCCCTTTCTCTGAAGATTTCAAAAAGCATCCTTTGACTCTTTCTCCAAAGTTGTTTTATCAACGTTACAACATTCAAGGCCTCAGTAAAGCTTAAAAATGTTTTATTTGAGACATGTGGATGACATTTCCAAATTTGATGCTTCAGTGACAAAAATGATGTCCAGTGCAATTCCCTATTTTAACTTGTACCATACATTCTTGTATCTTATCATTTGAACAATTGACTTGCCCTTGAATGCATTTGTGATGGGTGCTAACCGTGGGGCAGGAAACACTCATCTTTTCACGAACACCTTGTATCATCAGTATTTGATGGGGCTTCATAAACACATGCTCATATATAGTCGGAATCATTCACTTGACTCTGCTGTAAGCAGAGATTTCTTATGAATATGGAAAGGGTTTTGTCGCTTTTACTCATTGAAGAATATCTTCTTGAAATGTTATGTTGCTCTATGTCTGGTTGAGTCGCTTTGAACAGTATTTCAGTTATATCACAGAAACCTGTATCAAAATGTTGGGTAGTGCGTGCTTTATACAAAATAGCTGTAACTTCTCTGAGCTAAATAAAATGAGAAGGTAGTCTTATATGTTGGATTTGAAACACTGTCTAGTCCAGTAGGTAAATATTCATCAGCATAAGTTACCATGAAAACTTGTTAAGAATCAACCCACCCCCCCACCCCCAAACAAAGTAATATTTAGCAGCTTGCATTCATCTGGTATTTTATTTCATTGTACATTTCAGAGGTAGCAGTGAGGTTTTTGTGTTAGCGGGACATCACAACAGTAATGGATCAGTATAATGGGCCTCAGCCTCATCTGGGGCCACCAGGTGCACAACCTGCCATTCAGGCACAACCCAATTGGTCATATCCTCTTTCTGTGCAACCAGTTGGACAAAATTATGGTCAGGCACCATCAGCTGAACAGTATCCTTATCCTGTGCAACCAGTTGGACCATATTATCAGGTACCGCCGGCATACTATTCTTGTCAGCTACCGAACCAACACCATGGTCCCTGTGGGTATCAGGGATATGAAACCTTTAGTCCTGGGGTTAATCCTTGCCCTGGTGTATATTCAGTTTCCCAGCACCATTATCCCCAACACATGGGCTATCCTGCCTTAACATGTCCTCCCCCTCCAGGATTTCATAGTCAAGCTTCACACATGCACACAAATCCACACCAGATGCATACAGGTGCATATCCACAACAGAGAAATGATTTGCAAGTATCTTCTGAAGGAACTGCCCCACCACCAGGATTTCAAGAATATCAAGTTTCAGGACAGGTCAGGACAGGACACCATCAGAAAGTCTTCACTCCAGTCATCCACCAGCAGAGTGGCTCAGCTCCAGCTGATTTGATCAATCAGCCTCACATTTCTGGCACTCAAGATCTAGAAAAATTTGGTAATCCTCCAAATACCCAAGGCATAATAGGTCCAGATTCTTTAAAGTGCCAAGAGCCATTCAAGGAACCTACCAAACATGTCCAGACTGACCCGGAACCACAGAGCGAAAAGAATGTCAGTGCAGACATGACAGATATAATTGAAAACATGTCTTCAATGACCATTTCCCTTGAAGCCTCTGGCATGGGTGGCTCTGGGACCAGTTCAGAGGCTGCACTAAACCAAGGGGAGGCAAGTCAAGATGCTCCTCTTCAGCAGAAATCAGATCAAGAAGACTTCAAACAGACAGATTACCATCAACAGCAGGTTTGTGAATTGTGTTCATGCCATACATCATTCAGTGATCAATCTCATTAAAATCAGATCTTAGTTCTTGCTGCCACTAAACAAAGATTTGAGGACATCCCATTACGGGTCACATCAGACCGACCTTTCGCGAACCGAACTCTGACCGACCAATGGAACTACTGACAAGAAATTGATATCAGCCAATCAGAAGGCAGCTTTCTCGTGCTTTACGGCACTAATTTCAAATTGGCGACTACGCTTCGAAACATATTTTGACAAATTCTCGCTTACAAATTTGAAACCTGAACAAAAGAACATTCTCGAATGGCTAATATATGGTCTAGATTGTATAGATTCAGTCGTTAAGCCCATAACTATCGTTCGGAATACCCCGTTTTAAAGTTTTCGAGGCTGCATGATTAGAAATCACATTCTGAAGTCACTTTCATGATCTGGTAAGCGATGCTCTGATTGGTCGGATGAAAGGTCGTTCTGACGTGAACCCTAATGGGATGTCCTCAGATCTGTGTTCAGCGGTAGCGAGAAGGTCTGATTTTAATGAGATTGTTCAGTGATAGGTGTCCAGTCATAATAACATTCCTCCAATTTGAACAATCTGTTCACTGCAGAAATAAATAGTCATATGAATATTAAGTCAGTCCATTTCAGTAAGCAGCATCAACTCTGAAAACAGCAAGTAAAGGGTACAAAATGCAAAGCGAAAAAGCATGTTTTACCATTAGCTGCAGTAACCGCCTCTCTGTCCTGCTCCCTTTAACGAATTTGATACTGACTTGTTGCTACACAGATATGGAAGTTGATATATAAAAAAATTACTGGTGTAAATATTGTTTGTTCCATAATTCTAATCAGAACATATTCAAAATATTACACTTGACCAGCCCAAGACACCACTAGATCCAATTTTAGTCTACTCTTATGACAAGAATGAGATACAGAATCCCCACTGTGCTGTCATGAAGTTAGTCACCTCTGGTATTTGTAAAAAATAATGTTACTCTGATAACACTACTCACAAAACATGCAAAATGCTGTTGTTGTGTGAATCTGTTAACTTATTGTTGCTCATAACACAGCCATCCATCCTTAATTGAAATTTGATGCATGTTATTGTTTGCATTTACTGGGAACTATAGCCTCTTTGTCATGTAAATTCATTGATAATATAATTATGATTGTTTTGTTGTCATCTACTCTATAAAAAAATTGCTATAGTAATGACAATATGATTATTATTGTAATATATATTTTTATCTTTCAGGTACAGAAAACACTAGGCCATAATGTCTTGTCAGAAGAGAAAAAATGTAAGTCTAGACTTTAATCAATCTGTTGAATATATAATACTCAGAAGAAGTTAAAGAACACACACATTTTTTTCTATGACTATAGTTAATCTGTCACGGCTGGTGATATTGGAACACATAGCCTTCTAATTGGGGGTGTTCTTTAAATTGTTTTGAGTAGTACATATCACATCTTCCCGAGGCAAGAGAGTTAACTGACTTTAAAAGTCCAGTTTCCACCCTTTCCGAACTAGGCTGGAATTCCTGGGCTTGATCGTAGCGCCACCAGTGGTTATTACGAGTTATGTCCATTCTATGCCTCTCCCATATGGACCAATCAGATTCCACCTCTCGTATCACATGCATTTACTTCAAACAATATGGCGGTGCCCAGTCAAGACGATCTGATCGACCATCAAGGTCTATTTTGTGATAAACGGTTCTTACTTTGCGAAGTACATCAAATCATGTGATCACAGTGATTAAAAACATGAAAAGATTTGGAAAATATCTGTTGACGAGTTTGCGATGCACATGCTTTGCAAATTTTGCAATCGACCGAACTCTGTATGACAGTTTATGAACCAGATTTCGATTTGCGGTTCGCGAATTTGATTGGACTATGCATAGAATCGTTAGTCCAGCCAAAACCTTACTCCATAATCCCAGCCTAGTTCGGCAAGGGTGGAAACTGGACTTTTATAGTCAGTTAACTCACTTGCCTTGGGAAGATGTATATATCAAGGCAACAGTGTACTATGTTCAACTTAGGCCTTTTCTCTTTTTTCTTATTTACGGTTCTCCAATAAGAAACTCATTTTAAAAGGGGAAAGAAATAAAACAATAAAACACCTCTGACATGACAAAGGCCAGGTACCTGGATGTGTCTGGATTTACTACCCCTTTCTGTCAACACAGCATCGTCTGGTAAATCAATGCACAAGCAAGCTCTGATGGCAAATTCTTCTTGTAACTGCAGTGCAATATTCCAGAAATATATTCTTTTATTCTGATACAAAATTCTTTCAGGTCGGCAGTGTTAATTATTTTTTAATTAAATGACAATTATTATTTTTCATTTTTATTTTTGTCTCCATTTCATCAGAATTTTTTTTATATTTTCAACTAAAAACATTGTTTAGCTCACCTTGATGTATCGTTTAGCTCACCTTAATATATCATCGCTGTGAGATCATGTTCTGTGGCATTGCTGTCAACTCGGCATAGCCACCCCAATAAGCTTACTTAAATAGTCCATATCGCAGGACATCGATCTCCTGCATTTCCAACCACTGATAATCTCTTGACAAATCTTATCCTTACGAAATGGCTACCATGAGTGGATGCAGAAAGACATTTTACTTGTTTGAGTCACATGTGTGAGTTATCTTTACTTCGAAGAGTATATTTGAGCGTAAATGTGGTCCCCCTGAATATTTATTCTGTTTGAATCGATATAACAGGAGTTTTGTTCCTGTGGTCATTTACGCTCAAATATACAGATATAACTAGTGAAGACCCAGCTGGAGATAACGTAACTGTGGTAACCAGGGAATGGAATGTTATGTAACATGTGAAATAAGACAAACATATCTTGTAGTTCCACATACAGTGTTTGTATGCTATTGCATAAGGGTGTGTTGTATTACCGGTATACCAGTATATTGTGGTGCAAATCTTCAGCAATACGTATTGCGATACGTTTGTAAATGTAGCAATATATTGGGGCAGAAATAAATAAGTATATTGATGTGTTCCTTATCAATATGGAGATAGAAAATAGTATCTTTCTGATACAACTTGCCTCTGACGATCTTTCTATCAATTAACGTGTACACATTGATGATTGGGCAAGATGGCGGACTGGGTAGTCGACTCACTCATGTGTTTGAAGTGAAAGTGTATTTCAAAGAGAATTTGAGGTCAGTGATATATAAACTATTGAAATACAACGATGGGAATGTGTCTGGAACAATATCGGGTGGCTGTAGGAGGATTTGCTTCAGTCATCATCAAGATATTGACGAGAAAAGCAAATAAGGACAGACGTGGACACATCCCTCGTTTTTACGCGCTGGTTGGTATACATACCCGCTTGATTGTGCTGAACCTCATTCTCATGCTGTTACTGATGGGAGGTGTCGAACCCAACCCAGGTCCGGATTCTAATGATGGCGTACAAACTAGATCTACTGCTGGAGGTAAAGGTGGAGAGAAGCAACTTACATTAACCTCAAAGGCAAGTGAAAAAACTTTACAAACTGTGTTGGATGAACTGAGAGAAGTGTCATGTAAGATAGACAAAATTCAGCGTTCTAATGATGATATGAATCTGAAACTTCAGACTGTTGAGAGTACACTGAAGGTGGTTTTAGAGCAGATTTCTGAGACTAATAACCGATGTCAAGCCCTAGAAGAGGAAAATTTTCGTTTGAAAGATCAGATGAAAGCAATGGATGACAAACTTGATTACCTTGAGAATATGAGCAGGCGTAACAATCTGATATTTCACGGTGTACCGAGAGGTAATGAAACAGAGTCATGGACTGATTGTGAACTGATTGTTAAAGATGTCCTCAGGAACGACCTGCAGTTATTAGATGATGTGAACATTCAAAGGGCACATCGCATTATGAAGGGGAAGGCTATTATTGTTAAGCTAGCAGACGACAAGAACAAACACGCTTTTCTGAGGGCATCTAAAGCTTTGAAGGACACTGGTATGTTTATTACTGAGGACTTCTCCCCATTGGTGCGACAGAAGAGAAAGAAACTTCTCCCGAAGATGTTTCAGGCGCGTGAATCAGGTTTGAAGGCATTTTTGCGGTTTGATAAGCTGTATACTGAGGATAATATTTATTCCTATGACCTGGGTTTAGACTGTGTCACAACTGTCAAATCAGGTCACAAGCCAGGACTTTCACGTGCAGTGAGTGCGTCTGATGATGTCATCAGCTCGCCCGGCATAAGCTAGGAAGATGGCCCGGTCCACCAGTTGCCGCCAGAGATTGATGCGAGTACTTGGTTTGAAATAGTAACATGGAATGTTCATGGTTTGAAACAGAAACTAGCTGACTCTGACTTTACACAGTATTGTCTGAAGTTTGATGTCATTGGATTTGTTGAAATATGGAACAATGTAAATAAAGATGACATTTCTTCTATATTTACAAACCATACTGTTTATATTAACCAACGGGACTTTAATAACAGAGGCGGTGTTGCCATTTTGCAAGTCAATACATCAAGAAGATCTGGTCTGACTTTACTGATTGTATTTTCGTGCTTTTGGATAAGAAACTTTTTGGTTACACATACGATATTTTATATGGGTGTGTGTATATTCACCCTGTATATTCATCCTCCCGGAGCGATCCAAGACTGCAGAAAGGGATTGATTATTTAGAAAACTGTTTGCTCTCGTGCATCACAGATGCTGATATTGAAGACTTTGTATTTGTGATTATGGGTGATATGAATGCTAGAACAGGCAACTTAAAGGATTATATTTTACAGGATGGCAGCAAATACATTCCTTCACTGGAAGATTTGAATTATAAAACTGACAGTTTTAGCATATCTAGAAAGTGGACAGATGATCATGTAAACTCCTATGGTTGTGATTTAATAGATTTATGCTGTTCTCTTGATATACATATGATGAATGGGAGAACAATATCAGATCCCCGCGGGGATTTTACATGCTTTGCTGGTGGGGGTGCCAGCATGGTTGATTATTGTTTATGTTCATCTGAATTATTTAGTACTTATTATGATTTCAGTGTAGCCACAAGATGTGAGTCAGATCATTTTCCCATTGTGTTTAAGTTTCCTGTTACAGATACAGAGAATGTTATCAGTAACATGAATGCTGATAATGCAGAATCTATTTGTAGATACCGATGGTGTGCTGGTAAGGCTGAAACGTTTTCTGAGTTACTTCGGGACTCGCTATCATCATATAGTTTTGATGATTTCATGGGTGATATTTCTAACGGTGTTGATTGTGCTGTTACAAAATAGACATCATTGATCATTACTTGTGCTTCTGTCAGTGATATGAAGGTAATTACAAGCTCAAACATATGTACATTTTCAGTAGCAAGATGGCATGATAGCGAATGTAAAGAGTTGAAACATGAGAAATATCGTATTCTTAATATGTTTAGAATAACTGGTGATCTGAACTATTTACAACAGTTTAGACAGTTAAGAAATGCGTATCGAAATATGTGTAGACAAAAGAAATTGATTTATGAAGAGCGATTACTTGAGGATTTAATGTCTCATACTTGTAGCCCTAAGATCTTCTGGAACCAAGTGAAGGGACTTGTATCAAAAAACAGTAATGCAACTCAGTTTATAGCTCCATCAGAATGGGTCTCCTACTTTAAAAATATTTTGAATATAACTGATTATGATTTTGATCATGATAATCTTGCTTCCGCTGAGAGTTTTGTTTATGAACACGAGGAATCTAACTGTTTTGTCTGCAATGATGAAGAATTAAATGATATTTTGAATTGTGAAATCACTGAACCAGAAATTTTACATGCTATTAATCATTTGAAAGATGGTAAGGCGGCTGGTCCCGATGGAGTTCTACCAGAAATGATAAAGTGTTGCAAGGGTAATCTTCTTCCTTATCTAGTTATATTATATAACGCTATTTTGCAGAGTGGTAATTTTCCTGAGGATTGGGCTCAAGGTTTACTTACTCCCCTTCATAAGAAAGGCAGCAAATTTGATGTTAACAATTATAGGGGTATTACACTTAGTGATGTATTGGGTAAAATATTTACTTTTATTCTTAATAAACGGCTTACTATGTTTTGTGACATTTACGATAAGATACCAGAGTCTCAGGCAGGTTTTAGGGCTGGATACAGCACCATTGATAATATATTTGTGTTGCAAAGTCTAATACAGAAATACTTATCTAAAGCTAATGGCAGATTTTACTGTTTATTTGTTGATTTTAGAAAAGCCTTTGATTGTGTAAATAGAAAATTGTTGTGGTA